CCCCTTTCGTGTCTCTGATTATATATATAATTCTCTAATAGCACATAGTCCCCCTTTTGTGTCTCTGATTATATATATAATTCTCTAATAGTACATGATCCCCCTTTCGTGTCTCTGATTATATATATAATTCTCTAATAGCACATAGTCCCCCTTTGTGTCTCTGATTATATATAATTCTCTAATAGTACAAGGTTAACTGTAACCTAAACATTTGCAGCACTTGATCTATCATAATAAATACATAGGGTGTATAAGTTTGTCACAGTCTATTTTATAGGTTTTGTGTATCAAGGTGCACTGTTGTGTATGTGAGTGTTTGCAAACAGCTCTAACTCGATACATAGTTGTATAGTGGATCACTGAGAAAGAAGCAAATAAATATAATCTTTGTAAGATAGATTTCTGGAGTTGATTGAGCATTTTCTTCCATTAAAACTTCACATTTGCTACAATATTCGAATAACGTGGCAGTCTACGCGTTTAATAACGAGATTCTCTTCTGGTTTTGCTATAATTTCTCAGGTGTTGTATTGGGACCTACAACAAGAACCTATAACATACATTTATTAATTATAGCGAAAGTATAGATGACTGAAGAGATAGATTCCCTTTCTTTACATGTGTCCTACTTGCCATAATATATTCGTAACACACTTTTACTGGCAATTTTCTGTAAATATATTTCGTTATTTCAGATGTAAAATGGGTTTATACATCACAAGCATGGCTAATAGCTGCTGAAACATTTCAGCAGTTTTAAAGACATCCAAAAGAAGTTGTGATTTATAGTTGCCATACAAAGAGCTCAGGAAAAAGTGTTTCTCGGTCAAATATTTTACGTAAATGTACATTTCATGCTAGAGTTAATAGAAAGCCAAAAATAGTTGATGGCATACGGTGGTGAGGGTACTGTTAACTTTGTTTATATTTTTGGTATACAAGACTTAATGTTTTTTGTATATAAGAACCTTACACCATAACGTTATAACTTGTATACTTTAACTAATTTTATATAGTTACAAAGGTGTTTTTCTTTTCTTTTTACTTCTTTTATTTATAAAAGAAATTACCAAATGCAGGTGAATATATTACCTGTCTTTTTAATAGTTAGTTATATTAGCATGATAGCAATTCGAGTGACGTCACGTATCATGTACCTATACGCTGTCAAAACATCAAGTTCCCTAAGTGAGTGCGCTCAATTCTTTCATACGAAGCTTTCTAGTATGAACATAGCGAAGCACAGCATTCCTTACGCTTATTTATCTTTAGAATTCTGAAGTTTGTGTCCATGCTTCTCTCTTTCTGTGACCCTTGATCCTTTGCTTTCTCCCCAGCCGGACCTCCTGCCGTTCGAGTCCGACTACCGGCATAGACCCGCGAGAAATGGGGTTTCCTTTCACCTCGACGATGTCAAGTGGGGCGAAAAATCCGGCTTCTTGTTGGATTTATATGAGCCGTAAAGCCCGCAAATTCTAAGTCCACGGCTGTCTTTAAAGATAAACGTCCAAGTAACCAAAAAATGTGATTAAAATAAAGATTTTTCTTAGTAGGATTGTGAAATAGATTAAAATTTTTAGTCGGGCAATATTTGGGTAATGCCTATTGTAGAAGTAAAATTTGTTTCTTAATACTTAACTAATATTATAATGAAGGCATGTCTGTTGTGTTTGTTAAACACGTAGTTTTCTTTACCTATCCTATCTATAGTTTATACCATTCAACTGAATTCATTTGATATCCACCCTTCCCAAAACTTAAACATTTAACTGAGTGCATTTTTGTTGGCATATATATATCCACGCAACCAATACTTTATTATAGTTAAATAAAACTATTCAGGTGTTTTATATATATCCTCCCATTCTTTACATCATTAAGCTTACCGTGTTCAAGGATAATTTTCTATAAATCCTCATTCTACTCATACTTCATACGATTAATTGAGTCAATTTCTAATTGAAAAAAAAATCCATCCTACCCATGCACTATATATGTTCAAGTGAATTCAGTTTCTGTATTTTCGTTATCGAACTATAGGCTGGTCCATTATTTGGAATATGTCCAGGAATCTTCATATTTTATAGAATAATGAAAATATATCTGTGAAATATTAAATTGTAAAGCACCTATAGGCACCCACCACGTATAACCTACAACAATAAGATAAAAGCCACCTTACGTTTACCTAAAATCTACAGTATGAGTTTACAGTAATGTTAGTAAAGTGAAAGAACTTCATATAGATGTTAATCACAGTGACAAGAAAAAAACAACTGGCAAGTAAATAAGTCACTGCAAATGGAAGAAAAAGAGTCATTCGTGTAGCTGGAGAGGCTTATTAACTGGGATAGTTCTCGTAGTTGATGGACAGATCTATGATCAATAAATTGATTTGTTAGTAAAATTCTACTACTGCTTATAATCAACCCTCTAAATGTTCGTAAAAAATATATATTTATTATAATAGCGTTCTACTATACTGGACAGAAACCCCAACTGGAGAAATGTCTTGGGTAGTTTTCTGGTACTAAATAAAATAAAAGTCACATGTCAACTAGGAAAGTATGTGGCTTGTAGTAAATTTATTATAGAGTAGAGAAACGATTCATAATCTCAACTGGAGGAATCACGAACTACAGAAACACCCAGCTGCAGGAAAGAAAAACCCTCTATGTGAAATGATGCATAAACAGGGTTTCTGCTACTGGAGTAAAAAATCAACGATGTCAATTGGCATGTAGCATGTTTCTGTTGCTGGAATGAAATTCACCATATATCATCTGCAGAAATCTTTAAGCACAAAAACGTTCTGATGCCAGAGATGAAAACACCACGTGACCTTGAAAAATGCATGACATGCAGTCCGGTTCTGCCACTAGAGGGAAAAACAGCATCATCTTAGCTACTGAAACGTTATAAGAATGAAAACTTTCAATCACTGGAAATAAAAGTAAAAACAAAAAACAACAACCAAAGTCCTGAACTAGACCATTTTCTTAAATACGATGAAATATCTTTCTCGCAGTTGATGAAATAATTCATTATCGTTAATATAAGCGTATTAAAAACAGTAATTGCATCGAACTGGAAGTGTAGAAAAAAATAGTGGTATTTTTTATTGAAGTCAAAAGCTCAACATGAGACGTATAAAAATATAAACTACAGTAGCTCTTTGTCATAGGATAAACAACAAAAAAAAAAACGTTGACTAGAAACGTGTATAACATAGCAACTTTCTGCTAGTGGAAAGGAACAAACTTTCATGCTAATAACCTGATTATACCTACTATGATACTTTTTACCACCAGAATGAACTCATCATGTCAGCTAGAACATGTAGTGCACACATCAATTTTCCGTTGCTGAAAAGAGAGAACTCAAAATATAAGCTAGAGAAATGTATTAATTCTCTGTTACAAAAAACAACAAAAAACGAACACGTTACTCGGTACGATATACGAAGAACAGTAAACTTACGCTTCCGATAAAATATTTTATCGATAGAAAGATATTATATGAAAAAACTTACACTCTTTGTCACAAAACTTTTTCTGGAAAGTAACTTTCTACTGATAGAGAACACCAAAGAAGAGTACTGAACACAAAAACCTTTGGCTATTGAAGATAATAAACATCAGCATGAAAAGTAAGATAGTGTATTAAATAGAGCAACACTGTCAGAAAACTGCTTTGCTGTCCAGATAAATATTTTACAACTTCTTCTCTACTGCAAAGAAATAAAATATCAAGTTAACTAAGTTTATTAAAGTGCTTTTCTGCTAAATGAGAAAAAAAAATCCCACAAATTAAATAATTAATTTAAAGTATTCATAGTACACTAGTAAGAAACAAACCATTATTTTTTTTAAACTACAGTGTATCAGTTATAATGATTTTCTGCTACTGGTTATAAAACGACGACAACTTAAAATTCATTAATAACAATAATCTTTTGCTACTGAACTTCCCACTGAAACAAAACTTATAATGCATTAATTAGCGATAAAAAAATTAAATGTTATTTGAAAAATGTGTTAATTACAAGTAGAGTAAAATAATAACAAGTTAAAATTGGTGTATATATTTATGGAAATGAAGTATAATAACCTGAAAACCGCGTTGATCTGTATAAACCTGAAATGAATCTAGAATTATCTAGCTTTCTGGAGTTGAAAGAAGTGTAAGAAGTTCAAGAACTGTGTAGGTTTACATACATAAAAACAGTCTCAATCTATAAGGAAGAAGATTAACAGATAAAGAGAATTTATAGGTATGTGAAAATAAAGGATCGTTAAAAAACAGTGTACCTCTGTAGAACTCAAGATTTACGAGTCCAAAAGTAGTGCTAACTGGTGAAAAAGAAAAAAAAACACAGAGTATATCAGAACAACAGTGTATTTCTGTAGAATGCATATTTACAGTTTGAAAAACCATGCTAATCTGTGGAAAACAAAACTAACAGGTAAAAAAAAAAGATATATGAAATTGAAAAGTAAATGATTCAATAAAATGTTTTATTCTTTGAAAGTGGGTAAATGAAGGTGCGAGAACCATGAATGCTTTCACATTTAAAGCTGAACCAATAATCACTATTTTATAAGCAGAAACATGAATGCTTTCACATTTAAAGCTGAACCAATAATCACTATTTTATAAGCAGAAACATGAATGCTTTCACATTTAAAGCTGAACCAATAATCACTATGTTATAGGCATGAATTTTTTTTATAATGAATATTACTGTTTTGCTTGTTCAACTTCGGTTTGAGTCTGTTATGTTAGCAGTAGACATCCTAATATTAAATTCACAATAGAACATCAACATAGCAACCAACTTATAGTCTTAGACCTCTTTATTCATAATAATGATAGTAAATTTGAATATGAAATTTTGCATAAGACTCATTAATATATAGTTCAACTTCGATAGCATATTTCTAATCAGTGTAGCCTCTTTCCATATAGGCAAGACTAAAGAAATTTTATATTTAGCTGCGTTCCAGTTAGGTAGTGTAGAAAGGCTCTTATTGTTTAAATTGTTTTGAATTACTTGCCTTATAATGCCTATTGGGAAGGCATATTTTATTAAAATGTTCTTAATACTATCTATCTCTGTGAAAAAGTCATATTTGTTGGCTAACTTATACACCCGATGAACCAACATTTAACCAGATTTCTATCGAAGTTAAAATACAAACCAGTGCTGGTTAACTTATATACCCGATGAACCAATATTTTAACAAGATTTTTCTTAAAAGACAGTGAGTGGTACGTAATTATTGAACTAAAAATACAAACCAATGAAAATCTTATATAAAATTTCACATTCAAATTTACCATCTTTATTATGAATAAAGAGGTCTAAGAACAGAAGTTAGTGGTTATGTTGGTGTTCTATTGTGAATTTGATATTGAGATGTCTATTGTTAAGATAACAGACTCAATTCGAATTTAAACGAGCAAAACAGTACATTTCGTTTGATGCTAAATCGTTGGTGTTAGCGATATATTAACTACATGGAGCTTTTACCTAATAGTATCAATAATTATTTGTAGGTGATATAATTAATGTATACTTTTCTAGACACACATTGAACTCTAGAAATATATGTTATACTGGTAATCGAAATAAACATATGAACATGCTGAACCATATATCTAAATTGTAGTGATAATTTAACTAATATACAGACACACTGAACCCTTTAGCTATGTTCTACTAGTAATGTGTATCATATATAGACTTACTGAGCTTTATACGTATTTTCTAGATATAATGTATATAATAAAATACTCCTACTAGAGTATATTTCGAAAAGTCATTCATTCACTGTACTCAGTTAATTAACTAGTTTTGATTGACAACATCATGTTTTTGAGTGGACCGAAGTTCATAGAGGTCAGAGATAGTGTTTGACATGATAAACTTGTCTGAGAGAACCACATTTAACAAAAACAGATAATCAGTGACGTATCTCGTATTGATACTATTTCTGTGTGATTTATACTTTTTATCAATTGGCGGTCAACATTATGAAGGATTCTGTTACTTTTTCTAAATGCAAGCTAACGACGCAGTGTAGGTTAAAGCGCTAGCTCCCACAACGTCCAAGGAGGTGACAGGGGTGTTCAAGGATGTAGATCAGAATTTCTTTCAAACCATTGAAGGTAGTTCATCACACTGTAGAAAGTATAGAACCAGACAATATCCTGCATTAGTACAAAGTCTGATGGTTTAATTGAACCTGCGAAGCATCGTACAACTAGTTCGAAGACCACATCATTAGATCGTTCAGTGGTAAACATAAGTGAGCCGACACTGTTGCGTCGAGCATATGGTTCACCTTTGTGCGCCCAGACACAATCCGTCAATCTCTGTTAAAGACAAAACCTTGACTCGTCGGTGAAGATTACAGGAGCTCAATGGCGTAGCTGCAATTTCTGATGACCTCTAGCTGTAAGGTGCTGCGTAGTCTACTGTGGGGGTGAGTCGTTTCTACCACCGATTGAGGAAATATGTTCTTTACTATTTGGTAACTCACTCATTAATGCTCCACTTGTTCTCCTGAAGTGCATATTAGTAAAATGACTGATGGCCATGATGCGCAGGTAACGGTCATTACGTGGCATGCTTGAACTTTCACGGCCTCAGGGTGTCCAGAGTAGAGACCAGTTGGCTGATAAAGTATCCACAACAGATCTGAATACACCAAAATAACCTGCCTCTTGTTTCTGTATTTGTTCACTTTCAACATTTGATCACCACTGAAAGTTTGAACTTCTGTCAAAACTTTCACTCAACAACAGTAGCTATCAATGTCTTGCAATTACACGGAGTAAATAGGGAAAATTGAAGCAATCACCAAGTGGCTTATAAACAAATTATCAAAATAGTATATGAAAAGAAAGTAATATTCGTAAAAGGTGATTGGCACATCTAAACCCCCTTGTGTCTCACAATAGGATAAATGAAATTCGTGCATACATTCCATAATCTTGGTTTTTGGAATTACTTTCAAGTAAAAAATTAAAAATCATTTTTTAATATTTCAAGTTCAAAGAAGTTTAAACATAAATCAGACTTATAGTTGATAAAGGTTTACAAGCTTCAAGCCACACCTGAAAAGTAGTAGAGTTTTCATGGGAAAATTGGCAAAAGAAAATGCAATCACAACAATTCCATTCGACCACATACCTGCCAAATCCCTTCATGTAGCTCTTTTGGTCTGCATAAATGTGATCTTGGAGGCCGAATTCCACAGTGACTATAAGTGAAAGATCTGTTTAGCTTGTTACACTGGATATTGTAGAGCTTAATCAATGTCCTTGATGAAAGAAGTAGTTCCAATGGAAGCATAGGACTTGCGATTAACTTAGTATAACTATTCAAACATGCTGATTAAATATAATGATGATTTTAAAGAACATATTCCAGGATTTACCTTCGTAACATCTCAGTTAAAATTATCATATTATCAATCACCATTTATACTGTATACATTATTACTGATTTTCTTAATGAGAATATTCCACTATTTAAATAAAAATATTATCTTTAGGAAAGAAATAAAAGCAAATAATAATAAACCATTTATGTGAAATAAAGTATGGATTGCTCGACACCAAACTTCTAATCTTCTACAAACTTTTAAAATGTTAAATTGTAAAATTCAAAAATAAAACTCATGAGCCTATGAATTCTTCTTAAAATCATTTTTTGTAATATAATGAGATTAACCAGATTTTTCAATAAAAATACATTTTGTTCAGAATATTTCCAAGTCAAAGATATATTTCTACATTTTTGTTTACAGAAATAAGCCTGTTTACAAATGTTTACCCCCTATATCAATTGATATAATGAATTACGTTGATAACATTTTTCTCACTGTACTAACACATTTTTTCTCATTTTTCTTACAGACAAGTTTTGTGCTTGTCTTTGTTCACAGTGTTAGTTTGTCCTAATTTTGTTAAGAAACTTATGTTGTCCATACTTCTGTTTATTTTATTTGTTTTTTGTTTTACGGCATATTTTATCTCTGTTTATGTCCACAGGCATATTTTTCTTTGTTTCTCTTTGCACATTGTTTTTGTTTTTAATCCTCTTAACGGATACATCTCTTATTTTAATTATTCATGCATACTCTTGTTTACAGATAAATTTTTGTTTTATTTTTTGCGCATATTTGCAGATATGTTTGTCCCTCGTACTAGATGTCTATTGATTTACGCATCTGTTTATAGCTGTTTATTAGCCAGTTTCTTTAGTAGGCATCTATATATTTGTTATCTGTCTATCGATACGGCAACAAATACACCTGAATGTATTTCTGTTTTAATATCTTATTCTTTTTCTATAGTTCATCAGGTATTTCTTTTTAATTGCCAGGCTTTGTTTCTCATCCACTATCCTTCTTAAGAGCAGTTTAAATAGAAATATCAAACTGCTTTCGTTCAAGAAATGTTTTCTCCAACAAAAATGCTTCTAAAAAGAGTAATTAAAATGTTTAGCACATAAACAGTTGTTTTCCTGGTAGATCAATAGTTTTTTAATCATATAAACAGTTGTTTTTCTGGTAGATCAATAGTTTTTAATCATATAAACAGTTCTTTTCATTGTTAATCAATAGTTTGTGTTTAACCAAATAAATAGTTGTTTTCCTGGTTGACCAATAGCTTGTGTTTTTAATACAACCTTCTGTACGTATTATGTTATTCTTGTCATTGTTAAAGTTTATACTTTTTTACATAGTTATTTTTTAATCCTTTGATATAGTGTTACTTGATAGGACAGGCGAGAAGATTGATAATAGCAACTTTATTTAGTTGAGATGCAAACTTCTGATTACTTATTCTCCTCCAAATAGTAATTATTTGCATTTAGTTCTACCTTATTCTTAAATTCGAATCAAACTTTATATGAATTGTTAATGTTTCTTTCTTAGATACAGTATTCCCTCTCAGATTACTTTATTATATATTTGCCATATGTTTTCATGCTGGGTGTTTTTCGTGTTTCATTTACATAAATAAGTTTTAAACATTCAAGAAAGTTATATAATTTACGAAACACCTATAGTAGGTGTCTTTCAGCAGAGCCTTTTCTTTTCTTACTTTCTTTTTTAGTTCATATATCTAGTACCCAGTCACACCCTTTTTGGTTTCTAATTGCCACCTGACGACGTTAGAGGGCAGGCCAACCCTTCCCGCTCAGGCAATGGGCCGGCTGACTGGTTGCCATCACAATTAACTGCGTGCATGCATAATATGAGATAATTTGAGGCTGCGGGACCCTGTCTGAAGTAGGAGGGTCTGGACAGAGGGCGCTCATTTCTTTCAGTTACTAAGTTCCGAGCGTGGTAAATTACAGAGTAACGAGGAGAGGAACATTTTAAGCTGCGATGCCGATGACTTTCAGTAACAGCGGGATGACGTATTAAGTCATGCAACCTGAACTAACTGTAAGACAAAGATGGAAAAGAAATAGTCTGCTGTTTAGGTTAGTATTTTATCTACCCTTAATTGGTTTATTCGTCATTCTAAATTTATCTACAGTTTACTTCTGGCAGAAAGGAAGTTAATAGATTCAGATATCATTTACAAGTTTCGGTATTTTAAGAATAATTCGAATAATAACAAATAATTATCCATTTCAATTTTTATTTCATTGTAATGTTCTGTGGTTACGATATGAATTTCCTTTTTTATGGCTGTAAATCGTCATAATACTATATATATCGACCGTAAACATTATCCAGACTGAAAGGTTTATCTGCATAAAAGTGAAACAGAAACAAAACTAAAAAGTATTTGTGTATTGTCACAGAGCTTAAGTCTACATCGCTTCATGGATGTTACAGAAATTAAATTAACATATTCTGTGAATGCTAAGCTTTAACAACTAGAAACGGAACATCACGAGCTGTCAGGTTTTAGTTTATCGACTATTTATTTATTTCAGAGCCGGTCATAAGTCTGAGTCCAACAGGAAAAAAACAAACATATTTTGCTGGTAAAACTTAGCAAAGGTGGCAAGCACTCTTAGCAGAAATATCTTGCTCTGTTTTTTGTGTTGTTTTGTAATCACAAAAATAAAAATAGAAAAAAGAAGTCATCTTACCATATTGGCAAACCAGCTGCTGGAATCATGGATAAGTAGGCTTGATCCACTGGTACCTGTTTTCGCTATCATTAATTATTTTTTAGAATTTGTTTTAAATCACCAATTGCTAGTAAAATGCCAGCGTCATAAAGATTTAGCAAATTCCAACTTCATTTATCAGGTTTACATGTTAATTAGTTTACTCATCGCGCTAGGCTGAGCAAGTTTAACTAAAGTAATGTTTGAAGTCTTCAAGGGCAACGTGATTTTTTTATTGCGTCAGACTAAGAAGGATCACTCTATAGCTAGAAGTAATTTGTAGAATCTTCAAGAGGTAGAGGGTCAATGCTGTTCTACCTGTTGCTTCAAACTAAGAAGGATCACTCTATAGCTAGAAGTAATTTGTAGAATCTTCAAGAGGTAGAGGGTCAATGCTGTTCTACCTGTTGCTTCAAACTAAGAAGGATCACTCTATAGCTAGAAGTAATTTGTAGAATCTTCAAGAGGTAGAGGGTCAATGCTGTTCTACCTGTTGCTTCAGACTAAGAAGGATCACTATATAGCTGTAAGTAATATGTAGAATATTCAACAGGTTGAGGGTCAATGGTGTTCTACCTGTTACTTCAGACTAAGAAGGATCACTCTATAGCTAGAGGTTGGGAGACAATGGTGTTCTACTTGTTGCTTCATAATAAGAAGACTCAGTCAACGGATTATGGTATGTCAGTGTTGTAAATGTTGCAATAGGCTTGAGGCTGAGAAGAAGCAATTCAACCAATATTTTAAATTACCAGAAAGATGAGAAATGAAATTTCTGTAAAAGATGAAACAGTCTGCAAAGTTAAAATTTATGTTAATGCGTGGAACTGTTTAGTTATTGTAATCTACCATTGTTATATGTTTTGTATTAAACTGAGTACAGCCATTCTAATTAAAACATTGAACATTCAAGGGAGTGAAATATACCGATATTGTAATAGTCGCATCAGTCTATAAAGAAGCACTTCTTAATGGTGGCAACTTTCAGCGAGTTGGGATGTACCATTTCTGCATTCGTTTTATGAAACTCAGATGTAAACATTATTTAACACGTGGAACTTTCAGGACATTAAAGGCTATCATTCTTGATGTTTTGCATTAGTTCACATGGTATATAACGCCTTATGCCGGAGAAGTGTCATCCATAGATTAGTAATCACAATAAGAGTGATAAAAAGTTTTAACAAATCTTTCTTCACTACCTCTAAGCGGTTTCTCAATAAGAAGAATATAATAGCATTTCAATTGCATACAAAGTGGGCCGCTCGCTACTGCTGACGAGGCCTTTCGCCCAATACCAGAGCTCACCAGATCGGTTAGGCATACAATGCTGCGCTGGTATTGAGCGAAAGGCCTCTTCGGCAGCGGCGTACAGCATACAGCGTATACAGTTGAAAAGTTATTATTTGCTTTTTGCTGTGAAACCGCATAGGTTAGTAGTTTAAAGATACTTAGAATATACAGGTAGTAGTACAAAAATAACTACTCATCAGTTATTAAACCATATAAAAACATTTTAAGAGCTAATTATAAAGCGCAGAAAAACGCTCTAGTGGACGCTCTTTGCATAAAACATTATATTAAATTATAACAAGCATTTCAAAATTCAAATCTAATGTAATCATATTTTGTATTTAATGTTGAAGTTATCCAAAAAATGGATTAATAATGAATGCATTTAGATATGTAATATTGTCGTAATACATTGTGCTTATCTACAGTGTATATATAGATGAAAATGAAGCAATACGTAGGCTTTTGCAGAGCCATAAATAGGCGAGTTTCAACTCAGATCAACTTAAATTTTGTAAATATAAATACCGACTGAAAGCGTAAAAAAAATTGTTAGTTATTACAAAAAACCTTTATGAACTTAAGTAAACGTTATATTTGCTTTATCATGCATTTTTTGTTTCAGATATTCGCTTCACTTCTTGGTTTGAAGAGTGTCTCACGCACAACCTAAATGTGCCTTTATATATGTTAGCATGGATACGTCATCAAGACATGAATAATAAAAGTGCTGGAATGATGGTTCAAACTAAACGAAGCAGACTTTACAATGAATGGTCTATGATTCAATCTTTTGTTTAATATTCCTCGGAGGGTGATGAATTATACAATACACACATG